TTTGATTGGACAAGGTTATCAAAATTCAATGCTTGGAAACATTCGAAGTAATGATTCTTATCAATTACAAAACGCTTAAATACAGCCCCGGCATAGCACATGTAAAGCTCCCCGAACGCTGCTGAGATGTGTGACGTCACATGTTGAACATGATTTGCACAAGCAGACGATGTCCAGTGACATCTGGCAGTTTTAATGCCTGCTTTGTCATCTTCTCTTCAGTTATTTCTCTTACTTTACTACCGTCAGGCTAAATGTTAAATCTATTGACTCACTCTAAACCCCGCGCATGGTAAAATATCATTTTGATGGGTATTTCCATGGTTCAAAGTATGAATTGGGCTTATAACTGTGGAAGATTATCCTTCTCACGAAATTTAGGGGTCATTACTTTGCTACCAAAAGGCGATAAAATGATACATTTAAGACATCGAGCTGTATTGCTAATATATTTTTTTTAAAGTATTATCTTGTATAAAACATCCAAATCAAACAGAGTTCCTTTTGTTTTGTTTTATTGGTGAAAATGTAAGAATTATTTATGAAATAATGCTTATGAAGATAAGGAAAAATAACACGGTATGATTTTATTGATTGGTTTCAAAAAGGCATTTGAAATTGTTTCTAATGTGTTTTTGTTTAAGGTACTTTCCTGATTTAATTCTGGTAATTCTTTTAAGAAATGGATAAAAGTGGTATATAGCAATGCATACGCCAGTGTTATGGTAAATAAGCAATTAACTTCTAGATCTATATAGAAAGAGGCTGTCGCCAAGAGTATCCTCTGTCCCCATATTTGTATTTGATATGTGTTGAAATATTTGGTATGTTTATTCGTTATTCACATGAAGTGAAAGGAACTTGTGTTAACCCGAAAGAATTTAAAATTCTTCAATATGCAGATGATACAGTTTTATTTCTTGACGGCTCCAATGCTAGTTTTCAGAATGCTATAAATATGTTGTATTCTTTTGGTAACTGCTCTGGACTTAGGGGAAATATACAACAACAAAAAAAGCAATTTGGATTGGAGTTTCAAAAGATAATAATGAATTAAAATTAGAAGGATCAAATGTAGAGTTTGTTTATAATGGTTATTTTAGATATCTTGGAATAGACTTTCATGTTGATATTACCAAGATGCCCGATTAAAATTATGATAGAATAGATAATAAGTGAAACGACAATTGATTTCTTGGATCAAGCGAAATATTACTGTTTTGGGGGAGAATAACAATTATTAAGTCATTATTATTACCACAATATAATCATTTTTTTTACGTAAATTCAAAACCCATCTGTTGAATTAATGAAAAATATAAAAATACAATTTTGAAAGTTTATATGGAAATATAACCCTGATAAAATAAGCAGAAAACAAGTTGTTGGTTTATATGAAAAATGTGGCTTAAAATGGTTGACACAGACTGTTTTAGTAAAGAAACTAAAGCTAACATGGGTTAGAAGAATTATTTGGAATATGTGTACAAATGTTGGTCATTTAATGCAGTCATTTTTACAACAAAACAAACATTTATGATCAGTTTTGGTGATAATTTTTTTTTTAAAACCATCTCATGTAACTGGCAATCCATTTTGGAAAGAAGTTTTTAAGGGCATGTCATTGTTAGTTAAAGCATATAAGAATGATTGGTTATCCGAATCTCTATGGATGAATAGCTCTATTCAGATTTGGCAATGAGTCTATTTTTTCTAAATCCTGGTACGAAAAGGGTATTCGATTTATTAACGATTTGATGAATAGAAATGGAAACTTATTGGCTCACAAGAAAAGTTTAATTTGAAGCGAAATTATTTATCTTATTATTCAGTTTGTTAAATAATAAAATGCACATAAAGTGCATTTCACAAAACATGTCAAACAATTTTGGAAGAACCTTTAATTCCTTCCCATGTTAAAGCACTTATTCATGAGAAGAAAAAAAAAGGATGTAGATACATTTATAAAGTTCTTTTTGAAGAAACAAATTGTTTGTCTCTAATAAGTTCAAAGTGGGAACAATATTCGACTTACAATTTACCAGCTGTATTGATAACAAATTTCGTTTCACACCAGTTATTAGTCTGAAATACTTTCAGTGTAAGATTTTAATAGAATTTTGTTTTTTAATAAACAACTTTTTAGGAGGAAAAGTGTAAACTATGATATGTTCATTTTGTAGAAAAGAAATAGAAGATATGGCACATTTCTATTTTGAATGTGAGATAAGTAGAAAGATCTGGAATGAAACCTCAAACAGGATTTATGAAAGAAATCAAATTAAAATTTTGTTCACTTTACCAATTATAATGTTTGTCTTTGAAGATAAGAGAAACGATGCCCTAAATTGCATTGATCTATTGATTAAACAACAGATGTTTATTTGTAAACTGAACAGTATTGTTCCGCTTATTGATATGTTGAAAAAGGAAGTTTTACAATATTATAAAGATGAGAAATATATTGTATGTCTATCTGGAATGATTGAAAAGAAACGTAATTGAACAGCCTTACAAAAAACGTCAAAACTCACGCATGGGATTTAGAATGTATTGCCCAAAAAGTAGGTTGATCTATGTCTCAACTACTAATACTGTAATATGTCTTCTTCTCCATCGATGTACAGGTTGTCATTTTGATCTTGGGCTGGCTTCAGGCATTCTCGCATTAACAAATAGTCAGATGCATAGAGCTCTCAACGAATCAGAGTCGGACTTTGAAAATCTGAGGCTTTGGCCTTTCGAGCACAGACCACTGACAGGTTGGGGAGGGCGCTCTTCAAGCTATGCTGGTGATTGGGTAGAAGTTTTCATTGGGAGCCGCACCATAGTTCAGGACGTCATCATTCAGCAGTGCGATGATGTACGGATTCTTTCGTTCAACCTGACGGCTATGTCAGATGATGTCTCACACATATTTCACTTCGTGAGTGCTTGATTATCTAGACATTTTCCAATAGGAAATCAATTTCAGAGAAAGAAGTTAAATGTTGCCGGAAATCTCCCAAAGAAGTGGTTGTGTATCTTTTTGTTTTCCAACGAGATGAATCTTGTCAAAAATTAAATCTCAAATTACTGTAAACTTTACTTAAACATTTGGCTGATCTTTTAATTTTTCGTTTTTCGGGGGGGGGGGGGCTTAAGACCGAAAGGGAAAATAAGAATATGTGTGGTGGTGGTCGGTGCGCTATGCGACTTTATTTTTTTGGTGTATCTCTGTATGTTATTTGATTTCCGCCGTATTACTACGTCTTCCTAGACTCATTTTGTGCGATGTGTTTTTGGAAGAGGAAATGAATACTCCTTTTATTTAGATGTATCAATTTGTCTCAATCTACACTACATGTATAGGATATTTCAGATTGCGAGACGGCGATGTGTAAAGTATCTCTCCCGGAAAGAATCATAGCTACACGATACTGGGTACTACCAACTGACTGGAACGACAAATTGTGTTTCCGACTGGAGCTTTTAGGATGTCATATACTTGGTAAGAGTTTTTAAAGATTTTTGTATACAAAATCGACTTTTCAACTTGTTACCCTTATTGCAAGCTACGATGCACAATGTCCCTCACCTCTAATATCTCGACTCAGGCCGTAATACCCGTTGGACACGGAGAATCAATTCGATTGTGCCAGGTGCTGACGCAGTTTTTTGTTTTGTTTGTTTTACCTGACTGCTAAGAAAGCAACCAGGGGACCGAAGGCTTTAACTTTTTTTTCCGAAGGACTTGATGATAAGGATTAAAGCCTTACAAAAGACACTAGTGCATCCCCTTGGTTTCGAATCCGGGACCTCCCGGTTTGGAATCCACTGCTTTACCAATGAGCCATCGCGTCTCCATGTTCTACGTCAGTTCTATGCAGAAAAAATTAGGCCTCGTGCGCAAATAGCATTATCCACCTCGATGTTCTCTTTTCGCAGACTGTGCGTCTCGATACTGCGAGGAGAACTGCTCATCGGCGTATCTTTCCCCTGAAATAGCGACGGAAATAGCCTTGGACCAATCAAGAACATTCCCACCTCGTGCTATGTGCCATCAGGAAATCAGATTGCCAGCAGGCCAATATGTGGTGTTCATTTTCCATGGATTTCAGGTATTTCAAGATTTTCATCTTTTAAAGCCTGTCTGCTCTAGTTTGGCCAGGGAGGATTAGACCTCCCAGCGTGGTCACTGACAGGGGGTTATTTCATCAACCCAGCTCTCAATTAACATAAAAAAGAGGAACATGGGGGACCAACGGGCACCGCTTTAGGCATTGTTTTCGATATAGAGGGAGCAAGTAGCTACAAGTAGTGCAGTGGGGCTTTAACGCCATGTTTGGTGATATCAAAACATTACTTTAAACATGATTCCTAAGTAAAGGGAGATGACAAATTTCAATTTTTCCAGATTTAAAGCAAATAATAAATATATTAACATGTAGTTTTAAGCTTCTAAATATATTGTATTATCTTGTAAAATGTAAGATGAGATGAAGTTACATTTTAACCGTCCTCATTAACAACAGCATGTCCTTTGTCGACAGCATTTTTTCCGTGTATTTGGTTATTTTGGGGGCAAGTCCAATCTATTTTTTCTCATACTCGGGCCACATCTGAGATTTAGTAAATTCGCCAATAGCCCTATCTAGAGATTAGATCAGACCAAATACGACGTTACGCACAAAGTTGGAATGATTTTTCTTATCTCTCGTCATAGAATGGCTGTGACAATATGCTTTATTTTTGATAGACACGCTTCATATCTTATCAGAACTTTAGAGATGAATGTCTATGAATCTTCAGATTGATCAATTGAGCTCAGAGAACAATAAAACTTTATCTATCAAGAATATATCATAGTGTCATGACTCAAACGTACTTGGTTACTTGAAATTGAACATGCCTAAATACCATAACTCTTTGGATTTTCCCTTCTCAAAAGTTCTAAAATGCAATAAAGTACTTAAAATTGCAGAAAATTGCGACGAAACATGTTATTTTCTCCCTTCAAGTCTGAGGTTGACAGGAGCGGGAAGTCGGATGGTATTCTCTCGATCAGTGACTCGGTCGGTGAGACGGACGTGTCCTTTGACCTCAGTCACGTCCCATCTGTCTTTGTCTCATCATCTTCAAATCCATCAGTGACCTTATTGTCAGGATTGCTCACCGGGATCTCAAGCGCCATAGTTGTCTATGGTTCTGTAGGTATGTTGGCACCGTCGGATGTTTCCTAAGCCTTTTAATTATATACTGGGCCTTCTCATTTTGGAGAACCAAGAGATTTGATTATGAACATCAAAAGCAAAAATATGAAATGATCAAATTAGGCATGTTAATCGCATAACCTTTTGCTGGTTTAAAATACTGCACCTACCGTCCGAATCTTCATTTTTGGGAAAAACGCAAAGTTAAGATTAAGATTGAGAGCTAATATCGCGGAAATATTTAGGTTTTATGACACAGATCCTATGGAGAGAGGGGGGGATTAATTAAGGAGCTGTAAGGTTCGTTTTGTTAAAATCCTATACACAGTGAGAAATTTCTGAATAAATCTTACTAGCGGCTTGATTCCCCCGAAAAATATATTGACATAAAATTACGTTCTATTGTGAACATTTTTGTAATTTACCTTTTCAGGTATATACAAATTATATTCTTGTAGTGATTGTATGTAATGACTTGAATTTTATTAAAGATAAACCCAGGTGTAGCGAAAGAACTGAAGGTACATCTGAGGATTATTTCTCCTGCAAGCAAAGCTCCGGGTTTCTGATGTCTCCGGGCTACTTCGATTCATATCCTTCCAATCTGGACCTCTCCTGGGACATCGCCACCAAACCATGGACTCAGATCAGTCTGCACTTCGTCGAACTCGATGTCAAGTCCTTGGAAGAAGGATGCAATGAGGACTACGTGATCATCATGGATATGTCATCTCAACGTTCACTTGGGCGATTCTGCGATCAGAAGAAACCCTCTGGATTAGTTGTGTCGTCATTGAACCGAATGGAGATCAGGTTCCATTCCGACAGCATCAGAAGTGGTGACGGTTTCTTAGCTGAATACTCGTCATATATTCTTATTCCTGATATGATCAACAGTACAAGCAGTAAGTTTTTCGGATTTTTTATTTGGCAGATTTTCTGTACGATCAACAACAACAAAAGGAGTTTCTTATATATAATACCTCGATCTTTAACAAAAATGGTACAAATGGTATTGGTAACATGACACAGGAAAAGCGTTTTGTGTAGGATGATGACCGCGGAGCAATTGTCACCGGATCAACCATTGCCATTTTGACCAATTTCAGCCAGGGCTTATGTGTTTTAACCGTTTGTTTTATAACTTTATATCTTTTAAAAAATTCAAATCATAGATCACACATGTTCTGATGGATGGGATGTTTTCCATGGCTCATGTTACCGACTCTTTATCAACTCAGAAGCAAGTACATGGAACGAGGCAGAACTGGTATGCCAGGAAAACCCTAAGGGTCATCTAGTCAGCATTCGGGATCAAGACGAGATGGTCTTTCTACATTATATGATCTCTTCCCAATGGGAAGTGACAGAGACCGAGACGTATATAGGAAAGTATTGGTGTACCTAAAAGTATTGTTTCCAGTTTGCATGTGGCACTTTAACACATAACACACATTATACCCTAAATACTAGCATGAACTATGTCTCGAGACCTGGTACTATTTGGTCTCTGTTTAACATCTTGATCAACGCCACTGTTTGTGCTTCATGACGATCTTGAACAGTCAGAGAGACGGACGTGTTTTGAGGAAAAGGGATGTCCTTCATTTAGCAAGACAGTTCCGCAGTGATGAAGACGTCTTACTTTTTAGCCATGCTACTCACTCAACCGCTGCACGCATCACTATGAAGAAACATGACAGAACTGAATTAAATAAGAAAATCATTTATATAGAATCCCCAAAGTATGTTGATAGTATGAAAATTTGTACTCGTGATCTGTTATATTTGTACAGACACTTGATTTTTTTGAATAAAAATAAGAATTCACGTCGCTTGGACACAATTGATATCATTTGCATTAAAAATCGGAACAGCCACTGTCATACATTTACGGCTTTACGCAGGGTCGTATTGGGCAGCTTGGCTCTGATCACGGTGTTTACTGATTGCGAAACTTTCTCGTAAACGGAGGGTTTACATTGTCCTCCAATAACGACCGTCTCTCTGACTGTTCAATTGACCCCTCTTGACTCTTCGTGCATTGTGCAATTGCGAGCTCTTCAGGTATTAAAAAATAATTGTCAAGATTGTTGAAGCATGGTCGTGCAAGCAGTCCTTGCAGTCCTTGCAAGAAGAGTCCCAAATGGACCAATCGTATTGCTTCTCTGCTGTTCAGATGATGTAAATGTCTTTATTTATTATAGATTAGCAAAGCATTTTGATATTTTAGGAGGAAAAATCTATAAACTTTTGGAAATATTTGACGACTGAACTGTTTGCACATTTTGATCGTAGGTCTCGGCAGAAGAGATGAACGTGGAGTTTTCTATTGGAATGACGGCACCCCTATGTCTTACACAGATTGGTACAATCCTCTACAGTAAGTCACGTGATGGAAAGTGATTTTTTTTTAAAATTAATTTGTGATATGTTAAACCTTATGTTTCTTGTATCTTGTTTAACAGCTAACCCTTAGGAAATGTAGTACTTATTATTATCATCACAAAGTAAATAGTACTATTTATTTCCCTAAATTTTATTCATTTTTCAGAATCATTTCTGTAATTCAGCTCAGTATTCTTTGTACGAAAAAGAATGAACAATTTTCTTGTTTAGTCAGCGAAATAAAGTCGAAGGCGCATAACGAACCACGAGGTGCAGGTGTACCAAAGCATCCCATGAACACATTATTTGGAACGATAACCTTCTCATATTGCTCCTTACATAATGTATTTTTCGTAGAATCCCATAGAAATGTGTTTTTTGGCACGTGCATGCTTTGATAAGAGGAAGATTTTAAAAACTATTTTCGTATTAAAAGTTGCATTCTAAAATTAGCTGACCGCTAAAATAACGGAATTTTATCTTTGACTGCATTTCTTTAAACGCCTAAAACAGTGTATTTTTGTTTTAATTTGCAGAGGAACGGAAGGTGACAGGCAGCCTAATGGAGGTTCACTTGAAGCATGCACAATGCTAGTCTTCGATTCAGCCACTTCGACAGATCGGTCGACCAATCTGTGGCATGACGTAGCGTGTGCATCTCCTGAAACAAAGCAGTTCATATGTGAAACAGCAGCATCCGGAGCACTTGGTACAGTAATTAAATCTAGTCACACACATATGCACCCTCACACACCTACACACACCCACACTCAGCTCAGTATTGTAATGTACTGTATCGAAAAATGTATCCAATGTAAAATATTACATTGATGCACATAAATATGTATGTTTTGAAGATGAGATAGAAAACAATAAATCAATTATCAATTAATTGCGGTGCTAATTAGTTCCAAGTTTTGGAATGTGCATACAAAATCAAAGATGGTGAAGTTAAAATTAAAAAGAAAAGTTTCATGGTTTGAAAAGGGTATGAGTATGCTTATGAATAAAAGATACACTGACACACCCACACCCACCCAAGCACATTTATGTATGAACAAGACTTGACTCTTATTTGCAAAAAGCCTACGTATCGTTTCCATGCTACATTCTACATACGTTACATACTTTAGTTTAACATTTCTCTCTTCGAATTGATATTGCTGTTATACTTTGAAATACATAATCCGAATGTTATAGCAATTAGTTTTACTTTGTTTACTATCATGATTTTCACAGATCTATCAGGGGAATTACTAATAACCTTACCGTCAGGAGGTAAGATACTTCTCTATGCTTTTTTGTTTTTAGATAGCACGAAATAGTCATATATATTTAAATTTCATTTCTGATCAATAATTTCGCACTTTCAATTGAAAGTCTTCGAGTGGAATCTGTTCTTTATGTGTAAAATAACAATTAGAAGTGCTATAGTAAGAACAGTACGTATACTCATATTTATAATATGTTTTGTTTAATTTGTACTACTTATAATGTGCAAATATATATATATATATATATGCAACATATTAATGTTACCTATACACCCTTTTCCTATTCACCAGACATAGACACCTTGCTTTCGTAGTAGATCCGTCCAATTAAGTTGTTTACACTGCATTAATACGCATGTCACATCTTTACTACAATATTTTAACAGAAGCTTGTATGTTTGTCATAATTACATGAAATTAAGACTCCCTTGTTATTACGTATCTCCAGTTCAATTGCCCGATAAAGTGAAGTAGAAAAAACTTGTCATTCTATCAATTCATATAGACTCTGTCAGCAACTGCGGGACTGGACTTTTCCGATGTTCTGCGGGTGAATGCATCAGTAAGGCCGTTGTTTGCGATGGAGTAACGGACTGTTTATACGGGAGCGATGAAGATAGTTGTCAAGAAGGTATAGATCAAATCAAATCAATTCACTTATGAAATCTACAATCTCAAATTGTCATGACTCCATACATTTAAAATTATATAATTGCTGTCCATAATACTCCTCTGTGTTACGTTGCGGTGTGCACATAATTTCATTGTTATGGGCGGCCAAAAGGGCCAAAATTAATAAACGAAAATAAACAAACAATGATAGAAATAAACAAAATACTAAAAAATCATCAAGAACAGTAATAAAGGAAGAAGCCCGGGGACAACTTCGGATAAGGATATCTAAAAACTATCCCTAGAGCCTAAACTCCTAAATGCAAGAGTGTCGCAACATTGACACTTTTTCTTTCGCATTCATATTAAAATTTAGCATTGAAAGAAATTGATTAATAATTGAGGAACAACGTAGGCAAAGAATTATCAAAAGTGAATAAGAATGATGACTCGATTTATGGGAAAAAGTAATTGACTGAATGATAATATTGAACTTTTTCTTTTCTGATTCAGTTTGTAATTCTGATCAGTTTCGATGCAGTGACGGGTCATGCATATCAATATCCTTCTATTGCGATTCCATCCCGCATTGCCAGGATAACTCTGATGAAATTGAATGTGGTAAGTGAGAAAAATTGTTTTTCTTTTAAGCCAAATTAATGTTCCAACACCCCGATTACTGTTTTTATTATTATTATTATTAATTATGTGGTGGTGGTGGTTATTTTACCTGACTGCTAAGAAAGCACACATGCTTGTGGGTAAGCAACCAGAAGGCCTTCTGTCGATTCCAAAGATATTAGGTCAAGTTCCCGTCCCAACAAAGTCATGTTAGAACATAGGACTATCAGAGGTATACAAGAATGCAAGCAATACCTATCCGGTATACCCAGGGTTGATGGCTTAAGAAAAACAAAATCACCCAATTGCTATCAATCAAAGAACGGGGGCGGTAACGACTATATTTTCTTATAAAAATACAGCAACTACAGGTGTAATTTAGATCGAATTTAATTTTGTTTTTCTTTCAGCCTTACCGCCTTGTACTGAAGATGAGTTTGCATGTAACAATGGTCAGTGCATCCCAGCCAGTAAAAGATGTGATTTCATCCGCCATTGTCACGATTCATCAGATGAAGATGGCTGTGGTAATAATTATATTTCAAGTACTAGTAATTTAGAATGTTAAATTGTTTGGTGACTCTCTGTAGCCATGCAGGCCCTATTTTATCATATTTATGTCAATCTGGTGTTAATTGGTTCTAGGTATAGATACGATAATTTTAAGTTTTTAGTGTTTGATCTTATTTGTCCGAAGCTCCCTTTGATGGTAATAGGATAAGGGGCACTTATGTATTCCAGACCAATTATATTACTGAACTATAGCGGACGATGTAGATCTAACAATAAAAAGAGAGTTTTATGGTAAAAGAGGAAATCGCCGTATTTTCTATGTTCGGTCATTAAATTATTATGACATTCGACATTAACAAAAGTTGTTCAATCTCAATATCTTGCCGTGAAATAATTTATTAGAAAATGCAGACAAGGCATCGTGACTTAGTATAAAACAAAAGTTCAAATAGGAATACAATTTAAACATAAATACCTCTTTCTGATCAGGTTAAATCTGATTGCATTTTGAATTCGTGGTTCTCTGTCAGAATATGTCCTGGAGATTTTCGGCAGATCTTGTCAACTTTAAACTATTCTAACGACGTAAGGCAAAACTATTGTAAAACTGTAAAACTATTCTATTCTAGAGATTTGGGGCAATTTTTTTGTCAACTTCAAAATATTCTATTTTATAAGGAGATGAATTCAAATTCTACCCTCCACACTTTTGTGACCCCGTGGAAGACCAGCAGCAACAATACAGTTGCCGCTGAAAATGGGCTACCTGCCGTATTTTGTCCTTTTCCTCTGTATGATTACTTTGTATGTATTTTATCTGATTGTATTATACGGAAATAAAAACAACATCAAACAACAACAACACTATCATAATAGAAGCCCAAGCACAAGTTTATGCTATTCTATCCCCTTTTCCCCCGACACAGTGTTGGAGCTTTCTCCTTCTGCCTTCCAGTGCTACGACGGTTCGCTTTTTCCAAGGCAGGTTCATTGTGATGGTGTGATCGACTGCATAGGAAATACAAACGAGGACGAATCTGAGTGTGGTGAGTATCACTCTGTGATCTCATGCATCACCAAATCCAATCCGAATTACTACTACCCGGACAACTACTGAGTATTAAACCCGGTCAAAGAATTTTTTTTTTATCTTAGATACAAAAAAATCATCCAGCTTCTAGTTGTAACGTGATTAATTGTCTGCATTACTGATCAATGTTACAAATATATTGATCCTACCTGAACGTATATTATAGGAAAGGCGAGATGGTCTTTAGACAAAGCATACTTTTCACCGTATTGTCGATCTTTCCCAAAGTGTTACCTTATTATAAAAATGATAGCCTACATTATGCATCATTAGACTAATACCCTATACCGGTTTACTAACATATTAATATTTATGTATGTTTCTTTCTTGGGGACCGTGTGACGAGTGATTCCATTAACATGTTATTAATGAATGAATTGCAATACTTTGAATCCAGTCTGCATACATTACTTGTTGCTATGTCGGGCGAGCCCGGGCAAGCTTTCAATTTGTCAAGAACACCCTTTCTTTAAAAGTATGAACACTTTTGAAAATGTTAGTAAATCGATTTATTGGCCAAACTAAATGTTTCGATTATCCACTTCTTTTGCACAGCTTATAGCACTCTGGGTGATGCCTGCGATTCGGCTACATATATCACCTGCAATAACGGAGCATGCGCGTCACACACAACACGGTGTCTTCATGAACTAGATGAATATGGCTTCTTCACCGGATGTCGTGACGTCACACATTTACGAGCCTGTGGTAGGCGCCATTTTAATTTCAATGACTTTCAATATTTACGAGTGTTAAAATGCTCAATCCAAACGCTTTATTATTGATTTTCCTTCGTTTTTGGCATCATGATAATTTTGTATTCGAGTTTAAAGACGACTTTGAAGTGTAGGGCATTTTTTGCCGTTGCGAATGTTGCCTAAAAATTATCAGTTATAAGAGTCGTGGTTTTCAAGAGTTCATGTACAGCTGTAGCGAGAATTTAAATTCAGTTATGATGAGTACAAGACTGATTAAGTAAAAGAAGGGCTTTATGTTTTTTTCTTCTTATAGGAATTCGCAGGTCATTTTACACATTTTCATTGCTATTTTTTTCACACATATTAAGCAACCGAGTATCTCACACTTTGTTCTCAATAAATATTCTTTAAAAATTAATATTCATTTTGTACAGGTAATTTTGAGTGTCCAGAGACATATCTGAAGTGCCCCTCTTCTTACTGCATCCCCCTCCGATATCGATGCGACGGGAAAATGGACTGCCCCTCCGGAGAAGATGAAGCCTTTTGCGGTGACTTTGGTTTACGATTTTCATTAGATCAGATAGATAGATCCAATGTATAATAAGATGTGTATACACTAGTCGATTTGGAATTTGAAAGAAATTTGCAGTAACAGAGCCACTGTTAAGGATTGCAGAAACATATTGACATGTTAGGTTGAATGATAGCATTGATTTGGGGGTTCGAAGTCGAGAATTTAAAGTTTTCTTTTAACCTTTACTTACGTCGTAGTTGTATAGCCCGAGCTATGTTGTGAAACTGGGTTTTTAGAACTATTCTTTGCCATATTTTCAAATTCATTTAGCAGTTTCTTAGGTCCTTAAAAGAAAACGAAAAGAATCTTGAAGCCGTTGGTATATCTATCCCATGATAAATGCAAGCTGGCACATGGAGATTAATTATGTGGTATTTAAAGAGTTAATGTATTTTTCTGTGTCATATCTCTGAACCTCCATCCCTGGAAACATCGAACGTAGATGAGTATGAATGCCCGGATGGATCATACCGATGTCATAGGCAACACTATTGTATCAGTCTTGATCACGTGTGCGATGACATCATACACTGTACTGAACAGGACGATGAGGAATTCTGTGGTATGTGATATTCACTATTTTGGTGGTAATTACACAAATGAACATATGGTATCATCTATACTTCTGTACAACAAATTACTTGTAAATTGTATGTCATTACATTTAGGCTTGTGTACATTGTAGTTACAAATTCAAGCCACTTGATCTTTCAACAACGAAACAACAACAGCATCAACGACAGAATAAATAAATAAATCAGTGAATATTGATCAAGTAGTATAGATTCGTTACAGTACATTAAAAACTTACATTACTACACAAAAAACTGTTTTAAAAAAATGACAATTTGTTAATATTGGCATGATTGGTATAAAGAAGAAGAATGGTAGTATACACGAGTCGTTTAATGTGTAAAAAATACCTTGACACCAGTAGGATACTGGTATTACATAATACTTTTAACAATAGAATGACAATATTAATCTACATTTTCACGTAATAGTAAATTAATTTCAAATGTTTCTATTTTGAATTAACATGTTAATGAATTGGATTTTGTTTTTACAAAAGATCAATGCCCCCAAGGCTGTGAGTGTGATGCACTATCCTACTCCTGCCATCCGGACCAGATCGATTTTAGGCTCCTTCCCCGCCAGCTCAGAAAATTGTAAATAATATATAATATATATATATAGTCAAACCTGTCTATAGCGGCCACCCAAAGGAAACACAAAAATGGTATTTGTAGACAGGTTCCTAGTACATGTTTCAACGAGAAACCATTTCGAAGGGAAACAAAAAAACGTGATCTTTGTTGCCAGGTGGTCAATTAAGCAGGTTTGACTGTATTTCACAAGAATTTATTTACAAGGTTATGCACTTAAGTACACGCAATTGTGGTATAGGTAATATTTGAACTGATTTATTTTTCTGAAAAGATGAAATATGAAAATGTATGGTTTCGGAGCAGTTATGACGTCAACATATCAAATAAATGCTTAAACAACTCTTTCACAGAAATGAACTGATTTGATTTGACTCGAAGGTTATTGCTTTTATGTTAAGCATGAAGACAAATCTGATGAAACATATTTTTTAATATATTTCATTCCATGTTAGTGTCCATTTTTGAAAGTGCGGGTGTACTCAGGCATTGGAACAAAATACGTTTAGTCCCTAAACTCTCCTTGATTATGCAGTGTAGACTCATCCATATTACACCCATCATCTTCTTTAGATCTGTAATCTGTGACGAGCTAGATGGCCCGTGCGATTCATCCTTAAGTATTGTGACGAATGATGACGTCACAGAAGGGACTAGTTATCAACTCATGCCCCTGTTGATGCCATATTTGATTTCTTTGTAAGTATCTGTTTAATTTTGTTTATAATTCATTTTATTTTGGGTATAAGTATTTTAGGTGATTGTTTTCTTAAACTTAAGCAAATGATTTCGAGTGGGTCTGGGCCTTATACCTTAGTCACACAGCCAAACCAACTCCACTTCGATTCCGATACGAAAGATTCTTGGCCACTGCTGGTAATAACCCTTTTTGTTCGGTCTGTGGGCGGTCTTGTTGGTGTGATCGAGGTATCTTATATTTCGGCTTATATTAATATTTTGTAATATTTTCTTTTTAAATCATAATTGTTACTATTGCTATAACGATACCAAATTATTAATATTATTATTATTAATATTATAATTGTTGCTGCTAGTATTATTATTATAATTAGAAGGACTTGTATTGGCGTAAACCAGTATCACAACGAAAATGCATTGGAAAGCAATGTGTGATATGTCATTTCCTTTTTTTTTAAAGACTTAATGACGATATAAAAAGAGCATAACGACTTTCGTTAATGGTTTGATTTATCAGCCCGATACAGAGAATAGGACTACCGGTTTTAATTTTTGAATCAATTACAGGTACTTGGAAGCGTCATTTCTGGAAGAAATTCAACAAGGTTCATTTCTGGGAAACAAAAATCTTTTGAATTTGTAAGTATGATGCCTACCTTTTCAATCCTGTGTATTGTGTACTAGAGGTTTTATTTATAAAAACAAATTATTTCAATCTGGACAACAGAAATCCAGATTTACACCAAAATTGTTTAATTTTCAGGTTCTGGGTTTCTCTTTTACTTTTCTTCAAGGCTATGTGAAAGATACCAGTAGCCAGAGTTAATTTATTGTTACCCTTTTAGTGATGGTTCTGCTTAATCTTAAATAAGTTCATGAATTGTAAAATCATCAATTAATAAATTACACATGAATTGTTAATGCATTACAGAAGCCACAAATAATAAAACAGGCATTCGATCATTTGTTTTGGTAATTTACTGGCATTTCACTGAGAACGTCGATTTAGAGCCACAGTGCTCCAAATGAACATGCGGGTGATGATCGATAAATCTACCGAACCTGCAATCCTTGTTAACATACAGCCGCAAAGTTTGGTTGTAAGTCAGTGTGTATGGCTACACGGACGGTTCTCCAAATATCTAAATACAGCACGACCACTGTGCTTATTTTGGTCACACTGTGGAAACTAGGAGAAGCTAATATTAATAGCTAACGAATATTGATACCCGCACAGTAAAATTTATCACACTTTGGCTACCGAAAACAAAACTGTGGAATATAGATACCACAGTGCGGTAAAACTGAATGGGACCACTGTGGCCATTGGAAAACTGTAATGTAGATACCACAGTGTGATGAGAATGAATGTAACCAATGTGGCCACTAAGATAATGGTTGAATATTGGTACGGAAGCGTGACGAGATTGGATATAAACACTCTGGTCAGTAGAATTGTGGGATATAGTAGTAGATCCATGGATATAGGTACCACGGGGTGATTGTAATCACGCTGTGTCCACCAGGAGGGCAGAATAATAATTGTTGAATATGGGTTCCACTCCAGGATCCTATGGAATGTAATCATACTGCGGCCAAAGTAAGAATGTTACCACGTGGGAATCAGAAGGGGCACGGGCACGTTGTTTGAAGTACGACCAGAGTTGATTCGGAACACATCCAAAGTGGCAAAATCATCTCGGAAACATTAGGTAAAGTTTATCAACCGTTATGCTGAGATCTATTTATCAATGTATATACCATTGTGTTTTAATATTTAATTTCATTACAGGAATCTGGCGAGGAACCGTATTCGCAGTCTTTTTCGAGGTACTTTTGATGGTCTCCATCGTATGAAAACGCTGTAAGTATCTGCCTTTAAACTCAAATGTTAAGCGAGGTGCAAGTCCATAGGATATTATTTTATTATTAACAATATAGCTTCAAAGCTCTCACTCCCACGTTTTGACTTGGATGGATTTTCTCCGTTGATCTCAGTGAAGTCCAGCTACACAAGACTCCGATAAAGCTTTATTGATAGCAGGAAACATCGCTTCTACATCTGATTTGATTTCATACAGTAAAATTATTGTCTGTGCTTTGTAATTTGATTCTCAGTAGAAGAGACTTATAATAAATAGACTGCACTCTATTTGTATTAATCTCTTTTAGAAACCTTTCAGGAAATCCACTCACGGTTGTCAAGGCGGGAGCATTCGGGAATCTTACCCTTCTTCAAGAATTGTAAGGACCGTAATTTGATTAAATAGTACTTACCGTAAATTTATCCTAGGGAACACTGTAACCTATTTTGTATCGATATAGTATTAAAATAATATAACAATTAGCATGAATAATTGGGTCTCATTTGCCCAGGGTAGCTAAATCATTATTAATACTGCTCTTCCTGTGCAACTTTCAATACCCCAGTTATTGCCAAGTACCCATTAACACCTGGATGGATAGTGGCAAATGTGGATTAATGTCAGGCTTGCTAAAGGACGTTAGATTCGGGCTGGTATTCGATTCTTCTACCCATGGATTTAGAGCCAAGAGAATCAACCACTATACACCGATTCGGTTTGGGGGTTTTATGTACCTGTCCGCCGGTGGCGGCGCTATAACTGGGGGCTTCTCCGATCCAGCTAACAGTACAGAGAGCTCGAGAGCGGTTACTAGCTAGCGGAGCAGCGACCCTGGCCGGCCTGGGCGAGGTTCGGTATAGGTATAGCATACCCGTTGAGCGATCGATTCTATTAGCTGCAGTCAGACGCCCCCCAGTTATGGCGTCACCTTATGAGGGCGCACTTCCACCAGAAGTCGCCCGAATCGGTGTATACCACGGCATATAAATCGCAAATTATAACTTGGTTGACCGCGTTTATATTTCCAAGATAGAATATTGCCATAATAATTACAAACGCTTACTACTTGTACACTTAAAACCTGTGTAACTTTCCAGAAATCAATTCCAAGGCAATTTCAATACCCTATTGTGTACTCGATAGAAATCATGCTCTTATTACATGTAATACATGGTACGGCGTGATTAGGGACTTTTAGATTTGCACATTGACATAGCGGACTGCTACGTGTGACATCCTTTTAAGGCACTGCCCTTTTAAGGCACTGCCAGTGCCTTAAAAGGACGTCACACGTAGCAGTCCACTTTGTCGATGTGCAAATCTAAAAGTTCCTATAATCGTGTTCCTATACGATTCCATAAGCGATGACCTAGGATATATTGCTATCGCCTGAGGTCGATTTTTCGTCTTCAGTATGCGATCGTGTTAAACGAATGAAAATGATGATTTTACGGATTTCTTTGCAGGGATCTTCGTGGGACTGCCATCACCGTTTCAACAGACACGGGACGTGATATATTTCATGGATTGGGGAACCTACAGAAAATGTTCGTTTTTTAAATCTAATATAAATGAACTAGATAGACCGTACAATAATTGCACAAAGAAACAGAAATGAGAAAAGACCAAGGAATGTAATGCGTTGTAGCCAATGATAATTTGATGTAACATTTTTGACAATTCGATAACAGTTTGAAAAAAAGTTTGGTCTTGAGGAAACTGTCAGGAAACGTCGAAAATTGGAGCTGTGAAATCAACATCTTATTTGCTAAAAATTAATCATGTACCTGCAAAAAGTTCGTGTTTGGATTACTATAATAACGTCCCTTTTCCCCTGTATACTTATATTTTCATATTCCAAATTCCAACTTCCAGAAACAGAGTTCTTTTGATCATTTCATGCAACTAACTGCTTCTTCACTAGACTGAGAATAAGCCTATATTCAACTAAAATTACTATTGTTATAGGAAACTGTATACGCAAGAAAAGGTCACGTATCAGAATATTTTTGAGGAAATGGTTGTAAGACTCATCAGAAATGTCATCTTTCCTCATTATCCTTTGTTTTTACTTAAGTGAAAGTTGTAGTTAATAGTTAATTTTCAAAATTATCATAATAAAAATGTACAAACAAGGATAATAATGCGATTATGAACTTGCTAAAGATGTCTCAATCTACTAGGGTCCTAGTAAATTTGACGGAGTTTTATTTCATACTAACTATACTTAATATACTTAATTTCATACTTTAATACTATACTCATTAAACTTGTGGACCTTCTAATGTAATATATAATGTGTACTTAATTTTTATATTGGCTTACATTTGCTCTTTCCTATCATTTCTTTTTTAATTTCATTGTTTTTCTTTGATTTGTTACTCTCTTTATTTGTCCATATGCTGTTTTTTAACAGTCTTCTGCACTCAGTTGGACCTCAATTTACAATTTAATAATCTCAATTTCAATTACATTTATATAATATGTGATCAATCAGATATGTGACATAAGTCCGGATAATAGTTTCATTTTATTTCAAGTTATTTAATACATGTAATATTTTGATAGCATTTAATCAGGTGAAGAAAACCCAGGTATAAATATTGAACATGCTAGTTACATCATAATTCTATGTTGGCGTTACAAATGCTCGTGCCTCGCCTTTCTTTATATTCTTATTGTTTATCCTTGATTTGTTGCTCTCTTATTTGTCCTTATGCTATATTTTTACAAGTCTTCTGAGTGCATCAGTTGGTTGGGTGGAAGGACCTTTACGGTTACAGTAATTAAGTTTGCTCTCTTCTTCCCTGGCCGCCATTTTTTGCACTCAGAATATTGCTACAAAAATGTGTATTTGCACAGTTTTTGTCATTCTAATTTTGTATTTACCATGATTATATTGTTTAATTGTTATATTTCTTGAAAGTGCCGAATACAATAATACAATACTTGCAATACCTTTAAAGTCAGCATGTTATTGCTTCTAAACGTAACCAATATATCATATTTCTTTCAAAAGACATGCTGACCGTTACGTCTTTTGTTGTCTCGCTGGATTGGTGGATTCGGTGGGATACAATGCACCACGTGATCAATTCTCATCATGCGAAGAACTCATGGCCAGTGAGGTTCTACGGATTTTCATCTGGATTCTAGGAGGCAGTGCTTTCATCGGAAACGGGTTCGTCTTCGCATACAGGGTATTCAAACAAAAGAAAGACAGAAAAACCATTGTTCAGTCCAGTTTCATCACGAATTTGGCCGTGTCTGATTTTATGATGGGTCTGTACATGATCACAATTGCATCTGCTGATATCTACTACAGAGGAAACTATGCCTTGCATGCTGATGAATGGCAGTCTAGCGCCCTCTGCAAGGTGGCGGGGATGCTTTCGGTCATATCAAGTGAGGCTTCTGTCATGTTTATCATGATGATCAGTGTTGACCGGTGTATTCACATCCTTCTCCCCTTCAAACAAGGACTCCATCTATCTCCCACGGCTGCTCGATGTTCTCAGCTAATCATCTGGTGCATCGGGACTCTGGTTAGCGTCCTACCCGTGGTAATCCCAGCGTACAACAAAGGTAACTTCTACGGACAGTCCGGGGTCTGTTTGGCCCTGCCTCTGACGGTTGATCGTCCTGCAGGATGGCATTACTCAATCTCCTTGTTCATTGGAGCCAATTTTGTAGCCTTCCTTGTGACCCTGCTCTGTAACCTGGCCATGTACATCCGCTATCAGCAGTCCAAACAGATGCTTGCTCAGACAGGTAAAGGTTCCAGAGATGACAAAAGACTGACTGAAGATATCAAGTTGGCATGGAAGATGTCACTGATTGTCGGAACGGATCTAATTTGCTGGTTCCCGATCATCGTCATGGGTCTCTTGGCAGCGGCAGGGAAACTTACTATATCGGCTCAGGTGTATATACCCACAAAATTATATGTAACTAACATTGCATACACAAAGCAAATTCATAAACACTAACTGTTACTGTTTTCTGGCTGAGTGGAATGCAAATATCTCCTTTTCGGTAAGGAGTGCATTTCTTTCATATCTTACAGATTTTCCTTAATACGAGGCAGCAGATATAAGAAAGGCGTTCAATGAGATATCTGATTCCCGTAAAAACGATGATCCAAAACTTTGACCTTGGTTCCATAATCACCATTCATTACCACAATCGAACACAGATTAAAATATTAATGTTAAATTAATTAGCAGATGAGCGAGTGCATTTGAATTTGTTTGTTTACTTTCATAATAGGATCATTGTTGAAATTTGATATTACTTTGTTTGCTCTCGGCTTGTCTTGGAGCTTGTATTTCCATTGAATTCGATTGTTCGATGATCGCTCCCTATTTGCTGAAAGTGTCTTCTTCTCTTTTATTCTTTTGATAGGTGTATGCCTGGACTGCTGTTTTCGTCCTCCCTGTCAACTCGTCTCTCAATCCTTACCTCTATACACTCTCTAGTTTGCATGGGAAGAAACAGAAGGTCAAGAAGTCCGCCGAGTCAGCTACAGAAGAAAATAAAACGATTGGTACGCCATATTGCATTACTAAAACTTTTTGGCCAATCAACAATATTAGGGAGACAGCCATTTTTGGAGGTCAACTTTACAATACAAGTTCTGCATGAACTATCAGTGATAGAATTGTGGTAAATGTTCACCGGATCCTAAGATCTTTGAATCTCTATCTCTCTTTACTCCGAGGCTCTCTCTCAAATAGTTTCCATTCAATACTTCACATAGAGTTTTCCAGCGTTTCATATTTGAATTTAATATCCATATAGGTCTACATTAAAAACATCCACAAACGCGATTGCAAATACTTTCACACCATCAACCTAAGACAATATCAATATGCTTGTGCATCACCTGTTGCAATGTGGGAATATGACAGTGATATATTACGTAACATGATTTCTATAGACAGTACAATAGTATATTGCAATTGCCCGTAAGTTGATTTCTTGAAAGTCTATACGACCGTGTTTTCATGTATGCAACTTCTTTTAAATTCAACGCTCGTTGTCTCCATTTTGTAAAATGTAGAGAGCAGCTTTTGGGACGGAGACGGCTCTTCTACGGCTAAGGCTGCTATTCGGCCCGTCCCGGTTGCGCAGCATCTTGAACACTGGTTGAAAAGTGAATCTCGTGACTTGACCCGACAAGAGCTTGAGGTCATCCGACGAGACATTAGCCAATCACATGCTCTCGTGAGAAAGGCTGGCAAAACCGCGGATGGATGTATAAAGAACATTGTCGTTCACATAGTGAGTAAAGTACAGTATATATTTAGAATTTTTTATTGATATATCATCAATTAATTAGATTTTGATAATGAATAGTGTGGTTTCACCTACTTTATTTAACGGGTGCTGATCCAGCCACTTGGACAGCTATTCTCCCAAAAATGTATTTGAAGAACCAATGTCAATCTCTAACGAAGGCCTGCTTTGACATACTAATAGAAAAATATCTTGTTTCCATTAAAACTGAGAAAAATCTAGTGCAATTTTCCATCATAAAAACATGATATACCAAAGAATTCTGAAAACGTGCTGACAGCAGAATCCATCATCCTCTTGGCCATGCTAGTTGAGATAAATAAAATTCCCCGTCGATCTCTTGATTTCACATCCAAATTATACGATTATCGTAACTTCGATTTTGATATTTACAAAGTAAAACAGATAGCCACAATGACTTGGACTTTGAATAACCAGAAGAAAGTGATGATTTAAACAAAAATCCATAGAAAACTATGTGCTATCATTGTTGCGTGCGTGATATTTTTATTTTTTTATA